CCCATGTTTTCCTACAGCTTTGTTCTCCTAGGTTTTGGCTGGTTGAGAGAAAATTCCAAATTGGAGTAGAACTGTAATAGCATTTCAGAATAAAGGGTGCAGAATGCAACACCAGTTTTTGAAAGAAAGAGAAGTGAAAGTAGGGAAGATATGGTGACATTTTGTCTGAGAAGACCTTTGGAAGTCACCTGTGCAAGCCATCACACTACATCACTGCAAATAGCAAAGACATGAAAAAATCTGCTCTGCAAAATTCATGCAGCCACTATTGGTTGCTTCTATGAAACTACCATTATTTCATATATTCACTTGTCTTTGGATGGACCTCTTGACTTGACCAAGAATTCACACTGAACAGGCTTCGTATCATGTTCTCAGGCAGTAACAGCAATCCCCACTGGCTCAATTTATGGAGCTTGAAAAGTGAGTGTGTCCTAGTCAGTCATCACACAATGCCTTAACATCTCCCCAGTCAATAGCAGTTTGCATGGCTGCTCATTTGTAGGTACTCCACAGGAGAGATGAGCCTCAGGTTGTCATTTTACTTTGGTTAAGTCCTCATCTCTGGCTGGCCCCTATTTTCATTTCTTAATGGCTGTCTCTTGGCAGGAAGACATGTTCAAAATATTACTCACTCTTGTGTATGCCTTGTGTTATTTACTAGTTATTAGTTACATATCAGGCATATAACAGCCTTAGGAACTAGATATAAGGAGGTGGTAGTAACCCCAGTAGAGCCCAGAGTCAGTGTCTCATGGTAGAACAGCTGAGCAGCTTCCACATCTGTCTTTGACCATCAGCTTTCTATCCAGCCCTCTAAACAGCAAGCTGAATTTATCTGAACTTTCTCTTGTCAGCAAAAAAAAAAAAGAAAAAAGCAGAAAAACAAAGTAGGGATTTGTGCTGATCCTGCATCATGATTATTGCCAGATTTCCTGTAAGAGCACAAGAAGAGGAAACAAAACATGAACGTGAAGTGAAGAAAACTTGTAGCACTTTAAAAATCATGGCAATGAAGCTGCAGAACATTCTCTCCAACAGTTAGTAGGCATTCAGAAGGAGAGACAGACCAGAAAACTAAATGCATAAGTGAACCCATGACTGCAGTAGCAGTAATAATTAACAATAAACGCTTTTTAATTATATTCCCCTTTTTGCAAAGACTTCATAATGTCTTGATTGTTAATGTTTTAAGTTAATGATAAAATATTTGTTGATTCTTTAACACAGGCATGTGCTCAAGGTAAGTTACAAGATACATAACTGAAAGATCATGTGGGATTTCAAATATCTAGTTCTCCTGAAGCCAAATGTAGGACTTCATTCTCCACTGTTCAGGCAAATCATTGTGCAGTCTGTGGCTCAGGCACTGTTTGAGGCTTACATGAGGATCGTGCATGAGGCTGGTCTTAAGAACTTCAAATGACAGAACTGATAGAGGTCGAGTGCTCTTTCAGTAGCACATGTGCTTTGGTAACTGCTCCATAGGTGTGTCTGCAAAGGCAATACTTAGGTTGCCCTTCTAATTGGCACAGTTCCAGTCAATGTGCCACATGGCACACATGGTCTTGCAGGGATGGAAGATGCACTTAATGAATAGAAGGCTGTGCCAGGAAGAAATAAGTTCTTGAAGGTAAAAAATCTTCCCCTAGATACCAGGAAGATTTATGTCTAGGTTGCCCAACTTCCCAACTTTTTATTGCTCTTGATATTATCTTAATTGCATGTGGAACATTTCCCTGATTATCTCCAGGTTCTGAAGTAAACTTTCATCTACAGTCAACATTTTATGAATCTATCAGTCAGACATAATTTCTCCCAGCAGTAATATGGTCCATAGGTCTACAATTTTCTAGGAAGATTCCATGGCCTGAAAGGAGTAATCTAAAATTATCTGTTAATGTTTCTTCATGTATGATACATGGAACTGCAGAGGGCTAGGCCAAAACCTTTTCTGCCAGTTTAGCTTTAAACCCTTCCAGACTCTGTAGATTTTCATAGATTATGAAAGAGAGCTATAAAAATCACCACATTTCATGTTCTGATGCACTATGTTCACTGTCACTTATCAAAAAAAACACAAAACAAAAACATTTTTGCAAATCACATACAGAAGATTTGCTTGGGAAAATCTGAGTTACCTCTGAAGAGGTAGTATCTACATATATGAAATACGTACAATGTGTATGTATGTTATTTTTACTCATGATGCACAATACATACCCACACAAAAATGGCATGGTATATATGTATTTTAACTACTAACACAGGTAACTTTTTAACAGAGGTTTTCCTTAAGAGGTTTCCCAGACAAGTACTAACGTAGCCAAGGCTTTCTGAATTTATATTTGGAGTTGGACTAGACGATCTTTAAAGGACCCTTCCAACCCAACTCATTCATAATTCTATAATTCTATTCCAGGATAAAAGATAAAAATAGCAAAGTACTTAACACCTATTGTTATTTAAGCACTAAGCCACTACACAATTCTTTCAGGCATGCTTCTCGTAATTTTGCAGAATCCAAATCCCTATGGTTCATGAAACTGATAGACACTAAGTTCTTAGAATTGCTGCTTCTTCCAGGTAATTAAAATAATATAAAACAAAATATTTAGATAATAATGCTAGAATTCAACCACCCTCCCTTGCAGTGTTCACTAGACACCGATCTCCCTGATTTCATTAGTCAGCTCATCTTTGTGGCATCACAAAAATATGAAATTCGCACACTGTAGGTAAGATCTGGTGTGGAGCTTGTAGGGCAGCAGATAATACTGACTAGATATAAATGCACATCCTGTCCTAGATGTGCATTTCCTCTGAAAACATAAAGATAACAGAGGAACAAGCTGACATCTTTGTGTCAAAGAGGTAAGGTTTACGGATTTTTAACATCAATTCACAATTCAGCACATTACAGTTTTCAAGCACTGCATTTTACAATTACCAGTATCATTTTGACTTTCATTAACTCCTTATATCCTCCCTTCCCTCTTTAAACAGTAAAGAGATGAGGAGGATAAACAGAACAGCTCTCTATCAGAGGCACAGCCCATATTTATTTTCCTTTATAACTTTATAAACAGTCACTGATACTGTTTCACAGGCACACCTATCAAAGGGGTTCTACAGAAATGTTTTTCTCTTGTGTAATAGCACACATCTGGCTTGCTCTGGGCATGACAATAAAGCCCTTTCATGCACAGAACAAGTCATTGTGCAATGGAGACATGCTGAGTCGCCTGATTCAGAGATTTCTTGCAAATGATTGATATCACTACAGGAACAAGCAGTTGATTTCATAAGACTTGTTTTAATAGAAGAAACCAGAAAAGGCCACACATCTGAATTCTGCACCTCCTTGGGTCAATCATTTGGCTCTGATGTGGAACAGCGTGGTGGGAGATCTGGCTGTGCAAGGAGTGCACTGAGCAGCTTTCAAAACTATTTGGGGAGCCAGTTCAAACTCGCCAGCAAGTTGGGTGATAGGTCACAGGCTGCTAGGTGGATAGCCTTGCACTAGATAAGGTAATGGTCCCATTTGGCCTTCATTTATAATCAGAATCAACTGCATTTGGAAAATAGTTCTCTACTCAATCCTGCACCTAAGTACACCTTCTGAATTATTGGTTTCATGTCAGCGGTTTATTAATTCCCTCATTTCTTCAGACAAGAGGTATTTTCTTTATTAAATATGGGAAATGTATGATTCACACTTTTCTACAATTAGTTTAGTGTGTATTTTTGTCTGCCTGCTACTTCACTGCTCTCTCTTGGAGGGGCTACCAACACTCAGTCTGGATGGATGTTCTTCACCTTCTTCTGCATTTCTCTGGGAAACTCAGAGCTGGAAGGGAACACCTACACTCTGGTTTTATTTCCAAACTCAGCTGAATGTTGTGTCCAGAACGCTTATCAGGTTATCTTAATGAGTACAGATTTCTCCAGTGTACCACTGAGGTGATGCTGGAAAAGAAAAAAAAACATAGGGAAATTCTAGCCAGACAAATAATAGCTAATACATGTTGAACTAGAGATATGGATGAAGGTCATTTGGATGATTGCTTAACTTTTTTTCTTCATGTAAATAAAATGCACTGTGAACCAGGTTATTTTGAGCCTTACAACTGAATTGTATTTTATAACATAACTCTCAGAAATCCTAGAGGTAGTGCTGGGAAACCACCCTCATCTGTAAGAGAGGAAAGGGAGAACTTGAAAAGGTATAGCTTAAGTCAGTCTGATCTTATATTTGTAAAGGTATTAGGACAAATTATGAACCATTCATTTAAAAGCTCCCATCAAACCTGACAGTACCATTAGAAGGATGAAGCTATAGGAAAAAGTAAAGAAAAGAACACTATGGAAAATGCTAGGGGAAAAAAGGCAAATGGTCAGAAAAAAACCCATAAATTAATGAAAAATAAGCAAACCATCAACCTTGTCTGGAGAGGTAGAAGGTGTTGGAATGGAAATTTTTAATTCTTGTGTAGTATTTTGGTTCTATATGGTAACTTTAGCAGTATTTCAATTTGAATTACAAGCTATTGAAGATACAGTTCTTTGACTGAAAATTAGATCTACAATGGTTTAAAACGAAACTTTTTATTTTTAAAAATTCAGGGGGCATCAACATTCCTAATCTACTGTCCTGTACCAGGAAATAAGCATGGGTGCGGGGCAAACAACTCCTAGATTGAAAACAATTGTCTGAGCTGACCTACTACCAAGAACAATAGTATTGTAACATTATCAAAGCCATTAAGCAATAATATGAGGAAATAAAAGGGACGTAAGTTTGACTTCAAACTTTTTAATATTACATCACTATTGATAAAACTTTCTTGCATGACTGTATTATAAAACACTACGCAGAATATCAGGATTTTATGGATTAAAGAGTATATAAAAAATAATTTGAACTTGACTATCATTTATTTTTTTTATGTTGTATGATTTCTATGCTGAATGGCTTCCTTAACTTCATAGGCATTTACCCTTTTAGTGGAGGTTGAACACGGCAAAAGTAATCCTGTACGTCTGGCACCGGGGAAAAGTGACAGAGTTCATAAGCAAGTTTTCATCCACAGGAATTACATGGGTAAGCTCTTAAGAACATACAATCATTGCATGCAGCAGCTCTTCTGTTGCCGTGATTGACACAGAGGGTCTCAAAGGGACGATCACTGTGTCTGTTTCGACAAACTATTATACTGGCTTATTTGGATGAAGACGTTTCCGTCTGGTGACAACACACGAAGCCTGGCTGAGCAGGTACGCCCGGGGGCGCCCGAAGACTCTGGCCGAGGGGAGGAACCTGAGTTTCACGCTGCCAGCACCGGCAGGGCGGCCGAGGGGCTGCTGGCAGCCGGTGGCACTTACTTGCTGTCTCCTCCTCCGCCAAATACCGCTGCCGCTCTGTTGGAGCTCTTTTACGTTTTTAGCTTATCTTAACGGCGGAGGCCATTGCCTTTCCCCTCCTCAAGGAGCAGCCGAGCCCGCCCGCGCCCGGACCGACCGGGGCCCCGCCCACAGACTCCGCGCCTGCGCTGTGCTGGCGCCCGCCCCGAGACTACAACTCCCAGAATGTACCGGGGCGCAGGGGCCCCGCCCCCTTCCAGCCCCCGCGCACACGGGCCTGAAAGCTGTGACCCTGACGTCACTTCCTTCAGCGAGGTGCAGGCCGGGAATGCGAGTCGCGATTGGCCGGCGCGCGCCCCGCTTTCCAGCGTACTGGGGAGCAGGAAGCTGTTACTGGCGGAGCGGGCGCGGCGGGGCGAGGGGCTCCTGGCGGTGAGTACCGAGCGGAACCGCCCTCCCACCCCGCGGGGCGCCGCGCCGCCGGGCCGCGACCCGGCCGGGAATTGAAAAGGGATCGATTTAATGCGCGCTTTGATGACGTAATAAGGACTAACGAAGCGGCCGTTCTGCCAAGCGCACGGCTCCGGCCGGCACCGCCCGCGCCTCGCCCCCGAGGGCAGCCCCGAGGGACCCCCGCTCCCGCCGGCCGCCGCCCGCACCGCTCTCGCAGCGCCCGTGCCCGGCGGCCAGTCGGCGCTGGCTAGGCCTTCCGCCTTCTCCCGCTCCCGGGGACTCGGCGGGTGCTCATTGGCTGCGCTGGGTGGGGCGGGCTCTGCCGTCGCCATACGATTTGGCGGGTGTCGCGCTGACTGCCATCAGCGCTCGCCAATGGGGCCGCGGCCGGCCGGGGCCGGGGGGGGGGGGGGGGGGGGGGAAGGGGGAGGCAGTGGCTGGCCGCAGGGCGCGAGGGCTGAAGCCCAGGGGAGGCGGGCGGGGGGGGCGGTGCGCGGCCGCCTCGCCTCCTCGCTCGGCCAAATTTTTTTTAAAGGGGGGGGGGTGGGGTTGGAGCAAAAAAAATAGGCGGCGGCGTTCACGGGAACCCCTCGCTTCTATGCCCCCCCCTAGAAGCGACCGCCGCTGCTGTCCGCCGAGCCTCTGCGAGCCCCCCTGCCCCGAGATGGCCGCGGCGAGGTGGCGGGGGCTCGGCCGGCGCTCGCGCGGCTCCGTCACGTCTCGTGAATTGGGAGAACGCGGCCCTGTCCGCCCGCGCTCCTGCGGGGGCCGCGTAGGCGGGGGGGGACACGGCCCTAGTGCCGAACATGCAAGGAGTGCCTGCTGTAGTCCAGGAGGATCATAAGATGGCTTCCCTGCGGTACACTGGCGAGCGCAGACCTGCAGATCGGATGCATGTCACGTGGGGTGCCTCTGTTGTTGCAAGCCGGTAAGATTGGTTGGCTGCATCTTCCAAGAGAATGAAGGTAAACAACTGAAGGTGTCCAGTTTCTGCCACTTGTCTGTCAGCCTGCTCCGAAGTGGCAACTTGGATCGCTGCTGTCTGCCTTTCGTGGCTTCTTGGTTTTCTCAACTGTACCTTCCACTTCTTCATCCAAAGTAGTGACGCTCTTACTCAGTATATGGTGTCCTTATTGGGCTTTTTGCTGCAATATCGCTGAGTTTTTCTAATGGGAATACTCAATGAATGCTGCACCTGCATTTAGATGTGCAATAAATGCACACTTTTTTTACTAATTGTGTGTTAATTCATTACAGTAAACTATCATAAGTTGTGTGTTTTCTTATTCATGTATTTTAAGTGTTCTAAGAAATATTTTTAAAAATTTCTTAGATTACATAGGAGGATGGTTGCTCTATTTTGAGTGGGATTTTTGTTAGATATCCCTACAAGCACTCAGTTTGCAAGAAAATTGCATTTGGGTAGGTGGAAATCATGAGAGTTGGAGGTCAAAACTTTATTTCTTCTAACTTGTAAGAAATCAAGCTTTTAACTGCAAGTCTTCTGCCCATTTATGATGTGTCAGAATTGTGCAAGAAAAATTAAAACAGTGAAGTAAATGGCTGACAACTTCCCTCATGGTAGAGGAAAGGCAGGAGCTGCTGTCTTAGACCCATCATTACAGATGAGGTGAAGTGAATGCAGGAGCCGCACCCCACTTCCTTCTACCTCACCTTCCCCCTTGCCCACACAGGCTAGTCTTCTCTGTCCCCTTTAAGACCCTGATACGTATTTCAGCATCTGCTTGACAAAGCAGTGGTAGCAGGTGGAGCCAGACTTCCATACGCAGTTGCTTCTCTTCTTCCTTTTTTTTCGCTTCTGGCAAAGTGACTTTTCCATGGACCAGTTTTTCTGAGATGCAAAAATGAGTGTGTTTTGCAGTGAAAATAGGAATTTCACAATTTCCTTTTCTTGATGTCTGTTAATTACAAGAAAATAACTTTGCTTTTATCATAACCAGGTAGTTCTTCTCCCTACTTCTGTTGAACCACGTACACCCACCTGTATGTGTGTTTGTTATAAGTGAGGTAGAATTTACGCAGCCGCACAGGGGAGTTAGCAAGTGTGGTGGCATCAGCTGAGATGTGGTTAGTACGTGTAAGGAATGGTTTTGCGTGCAGAACTTCCCAATTTCAATCGCACACAGAAAATCTGCACCCAAAGTCAGGGAGCACCTGTTCTCTAGTTTCTTTTAGGACTCTGAAGAAAACCATTTCTTTGCTACGCTGGAAATTTCTGTCTCTGTATTCAATGTTTGGTTTGATACTAGCTGCTCTCCTGACTTTCTTCCTTTTGTCCAGAGTAAGTGCAACAGTATAGTGAAGGGAAGTCTCCTTTAAAATTCAGAAACCACATGCTCTTCAAAATGAGTTAGATTGTGAAAAGAAACAATATTTCTATGTTAATGTGACTTTCAAATATCTTCACTTTTTCTGGGATGTTCTCACTGTGAGCAGTATGAATGTGGGAGTTGAAGATGAGTGCTGCTGCACAGATCTGAAGTCATTTTGCCTGGAGTTAATTTGTGAAATGGTTTCTTTGAAGTGCTTGGACTCTCTTCCAAGGTTCTTTTGCATAAGCAGTAGTCTAACATCTGTGTCTCATCCACAGGCACAGAGTACTGCTAAAACTCTTCAGGTTTGAGAACCTCTGCAACTCCCACCTACAGCTACTTTTGTTGTATAGGGAAGGGAGAAAGGGCTGTGAGATAACAAGTATATGTGTCTTTCCAAAGGTTGACAAAGAATATTTCACCTTGCAGGGGGAGAAGTGTAAGTAGGCTAGGTGAACAAGATGTTATTTGCTCTTGGGTGTGACAGCACATTAGAATCCCTGGCAACACCTGTGTACTCAGAAGCTGAAAAAAAAAAAGCTTTATTACATTCTTATTTAAAGGAAGCAAACATCTTATGTTTACTGGATGAAAAATGTGACAAATAAGAACATTTTAAGAACTGTTCTTACACAAAGTGAATTGCTAGAATTGTGAGAAGTAACTGTGTAAAGATTTAGACATGCTGCTGAGGTATTCTTGAGTAGTTAGTTGTGGAGATGTTACATCCCTGCAGTATTTACTGTGAAGGAGGTGGATCTGTGCTGAATCTGTAGAATAAATAAATATGCTTACCCACTTTGACTGTTTTTAATGTATATAATTAAGGAAATATTCCACATCAGTAACCCTACCATTTCCTATAATCAGCTAAAATCAGGTAAACCTGTTAGCAAGACAGTTTAGTGTTTCTCTTGGTTTTGTAGTCCCTGAAAAGTGATAGTTAGTTCATGTTTGTGTACTAACCTGAGTGTGCACACTACTTACTGAGTGGCACAGTATCCTTACTCTCATACCACATCTCTTGCAGACTAGTCCTTTGGCCATGGAAGCTGAAGAAACAATGGAGTGTATCCAGGAATTTCCTGAACACTATAAAGTTATTTTGGATAGACTGAATGAACAACGTGAGCAGGACCAGTTTACGGATATCACTCTGATTGTTGATGGTACGTACAGGCCTGAGAACCGGTTGGTGTACAGGGAATGCTGAAAGCTGTGCTGGGAAACAAACCTTGAAATAAGATTTACTTCTTGCTTCTCTGGTATCTGCCTACTATTTTAATACATAGTTAAAATAGGGTAGAAGCACATACTTTTCTTTTTGTATGTGTGCTAAGTACTGTTCCCGTTAAAGGTTCATAAAGGATAAGGTGCGGTAGAAAAAATACACATATGTACACTGACATATATATATATATATATATATATATATATATATATATATATATATATAAATGATTTATTAATTCTACTAAAATAGCAAAACCCAGTTGTTACTTAGCACAACAAAAGCATACTCACACACATGCCATCAACCCCGGTGGATATGGTAGCACATGGTGGAGCATAGTCCGGGCTTGGAGATGGCAAGGCACCAATATTTAGTGGACATCTCCATGATGACAGTGTTGGCTGGAATCTGTTGCTGCACTGTGTCTCAGCTCTGGGTTAATGATGCACCCTTTGCATCCCGTCATGTAGCGCCAGTATGTGCCAGGAGGCGGGCAAAGCACAGCCTGAATGATGTCATGTAAAAGCACCATTTGCGCTGTAAAAGGAAAGGTGGTCATCTTGGATCCCCGAAGGTCGTGACTTCGTCCTCCCTCCTCTTCATCACCTACCCAACAGTGTCCTTTGTGGTTTTAGTGGCGCACAGCCCAGTTTCATAGCGTGGGTAGAGGTCTGTTCTGCTGCTTGCTTCCTCTAGTCTTTAACTTTCTTATGCTTTAACCTTCAGCTGTTACATCACATGTAGCTAAACAAGAATAGGGTCTTGTGCAGCAGTCATGCACATGGAGGCACAAGCAATAGAGACTTATTCCATCAGATACAGTCTACAGGTCAAAAAATAGTTTTTTGCTAACACAAACAGCTTTTCCCATCACTAACACATGTACTTAAGGATTAGTTTAAAAGGATGACAGATATAAGTGCTTATTATCACCTTAGAAAAGGTGGTGTCTGATAGATCACATAAGATTGCTTCTTATCCCAAACATGTCTTAGAACAGATGAGGACTTCAGGGAAGATAGTCTGTCCTAGTAGACACTGCCTTAGCTAAAGGAGTGCTACCAGATCTTTAAAAGTATAGCAAGAACTTACTTGAAGGAAAAGGGTCCTACAGAGCCCAGATTAGAAAAAAGTAAGC